AAGATTTTTATTAAATAAAAATTATTAAATTAAAAATTTATAAACTTGTAAACTTATAGATTTATTATAACTAAATTCTAAATCTGTAATATTATAAATTTTTGTAAATACCAAAAATGAGTCAACCGAGTCAACTCGAGTTAAAATGAGTCGAGTCAATTTATTAACTCAACTCAACTAATGATTCGACTCGAGTCAAATGAGTCAGAAAATTTTTGACTTGACTCGACTCAAACTCGACTTGACTCATTTAACTCATGAGTCAACTCGACTCATTCGGAGCTCTATGCTCTAGTATCTCTGAACAATCACACTAATTTTGATCAAACTAAATTAAACCGCTACTGGGACTTATTGCAGGAATGTATTATCAAAGCCGCTGACAAAACAATCCCATCAAGACAATCCAAAGGACACCACGAAATGAAACGGTCACCTATCCTGCTCAAACTCTATAAGAATATGCGATTCTTATATAAATTTAAAAAATCATAAAAAAAAATTTTCAGACTCTTATTATAGATAACAATTGGACACCAAACGTGAAACAATTTTATATTATTATAGAAGAATTCCAAATTCCTTTTGTTCAATTACTACCACTTCTGACAGTTACTCTAGTTCAGTCACTCATATTTTATATCGATCAAATTCTAGCTACCATTTTTGTCAAATCCAAACTTCACGAACACGAATACAAACTGAAGTCAATCCAACAGTTGCTTGAAAAAAGGCTTGAAAACTATACTTCATTCCCAGCTAAAATGACTGATTCCATATTGGAAAGAACTAGAAAGACTATTTTATTAGATAGATGTATCGATAATTCCTCCTCATCACGTGATTTACTAATGGATGAAAAACAAGTCAAACAAGAAATGGCTCGTTATTTTCAAATGGCTGCTGGCACGTCTCATAAACATGTGGATATTACTGAAGAGTAGATTCCATCATATAGACCAGTTGAAGGCATTGACAATTTAATTTATAACGAGCTAATGACTCCTCCAAAAGCTAATGAATAGTACAACATAATTAATTCGTTACCTAATGGTAAAGTGGCAGGTCCTTCTAAAGTTTCAAATGAAATGTTAAAACATTTGGATCCTTTTTCCCGAAAACTTTTATGGTTCATAATTTGTGGTTGCCTTACAATTCCATCATTATCACATAGGTGGAATTATACGTTCATTTATCCAATTCCAAAACCCAAACTGTGGGAATACGATTTGAATAACATACGACCAATTACACTACTTGAGTGTCCTCATAAAGCACTAATCAAACTCCTTAATCATCGACTTTCCACTATAATGGTCAAGCACAATATCTTAAAAGGACTCAACTTCGCAGGCTTACCCTTTAAATCAACGTTTGAACCCCTTCATATTATCGATAACATCAAATATGATGCTATACATAACAAAAGTAAACTTTGGATCCTGTTACAAGATATGTCCAAAGCATACGATCGGGTCAATTTATTTATGCTAATCAGAGCGTTAGAATGACTGCATGTCCTCTTTAACTTTATCCGTTTTATCATGAAAATGTTCGGAAGTCATTACAACTAAATTTCACTATGTTCGGTAACACTGATACATATCGTGTGATGTCTGATATTAACCAAGGTGAAATTATTTCACCCTTATTATGGTGTATTTATTATGACCCACGTCTATGTAGGATCCAAAACTCAGAGCATGGTTATTCTCTTACACATACATGGAAACCAAACGTCATGACCAACATCAAGGAATCCACCACCATTAAAACATCAATATTAGTATTCATGGATGATATCCTGTGGATCGCAAAATCACAGGAGGATCTGGACCAAATCATACATATAGCGGATAGCTTCTATCAACTCAATTCTATTAAAGTGAACTGGGATAAATCCGTTTTACTCACAAATCGTAATGACAATGTTAACGCATTTACATGCAACATCAATGGTTCTCCTACTGTTATTCCTCCACTCTCAATCAACGAATCTACATGATACTTGGGGGTTTGGATATCACTCAGGCACAATAAAACCTTTACCAATAAATTAGTCAAAAGCGAAATTAAAAATGCTGTCACAATAATATTTAAAAAACGGCTCACTGATAAACAGCTCACATATACTTTTAATACTGTTCTTGTTTCAAGGATCGAATATAGAGCACAATTAATGGCATTCACTGACCAATAATGCCACCAAATTGTTTCTCCTTACAGATCATTTATAAAAAAAAAGCTATGGCTAACGCGTTTCATACCCCATACAATCCTGCATTCACATTTGTTTTATAATCTCACCAATTTACATCACCAATTATTTGCTACGCATAGCGAAGGTCTTATTTTTGCCATCAATGATAATAATCTTTTGGGCATTTCTACCAAACATAGACTCAAACAACTCCAACAAAAAAAATGGTTAGCTAGCTCTCCATTATTATGTTGGCTTTATACTACCCCTGCAAAAGATTCGGATTGGTTAGCTAATGTTTTATGTGAATGGAACAAATCTGCAATCACAGTCCAAATACCAACAACTTTTCATAACATCATCAAAGGAGGGAATATTCCATTACACACAGTAATTCCTAAACGATACAAAGAATTTGCTGCTGATCTAAGAAAATATTCATTACTATTCTTGGAACAGCTCTCCTATTTGCATGGTCGATCTATGCTCACTTTTGCTGACCTCTCAGTATACCAAAACACCCCGCATATAGGAAAAATACCAGCGTGATTCACAAAGTTATAAGAACTACTCTCGAATCCTATTTCAGGTGAATTACGTCAAAAGGTTTCACATTTGAAAGAATGTTATTTTGATTTCGCGCAACCAAATAAGATTCCTGGCAAACAATCCTTTATTGTGGGTTCGAATTTGGGCAATAATCAACCTATTATTGGAAAACTTCAACAATCTGATAGTATTTCTATCATGATTCAACATTTTATCCCATCACATAATCAACAACGAAAGACAATATTGAAAGAGTGCAATGGATGTCTAATCACTAATCCATTTACCATCTTACCTTCAACTGTTAATACGTCACGCAATTTATGTTTCACTAATCTCCCACTCAACCTTTGTTTTACCATCCCTGTCAATTATAGTTGGTCTGAGTCTGGGCCCTTCTGCTCATGGTCAATGGATATATTAAAAGACCTAGCTGATTTCTTCTACAAACAATTACATACTGCATTAAGACCGCCTCTCGCACTTCTTAACATTCGTTTATCCTCACCTACACTTATTAAAAAATATATTCCTTCCTCTTATTCTTCATAATGAATAGCTTTAAGTTCACATTTTACACAGTGTTCTGACCTCGAATTTTATTCAGATAGATCACTTATTAATTTAGGAAAGACTTCTATTAGAATGGGTTTCGCCTGGCTTCAAACTGCGCCTACTGCATCAATTATATCTTACTCATCAGCCTTCACAACCGCTTTCCCGTCTTCCTCTATCACTGAGCTTGCTGCTATTTTCACAGCGATTCTTGTTGCTCCTTCCCAATGTCGAATCAAAATTTTCACTGATTCTAGTGTGGTTATTGCACAATTTAACAAATATAAGAATTTGTTAAACTATTCACCATCTTAAAGACCATTTCTGAAGATAACCAACGTTCACATCTGGTATTGCATATTCAATACCATAAATAAGATACATATTACTGTCTCACTGATCAAAGTGAAAGCACATTCAGGCGATACCTTTAACGACAAAGTTGACTCACTCGCGAAATAATCTCTGTTCTTACCAGCTCTTCAAATTAACATAGATGACGATAAGCATTGCTCGTTATTTTTTAATAATCTCTCTATAGCTACTCCAATCCGGCCTTTCATTAAAGAAATTAAAAGAGCGGAAACTCTAGCAACATTCCTCAACCTAGACATTATTTCAAAATATCATCCCTCAGAGGTTCACTGGCTCACTACCTTTCATTGCATCACTGATAATATTGCCTCACGCGCTACGTGCTATGAAGCCTTAGCTCTTAAACAAAAAAAGATCCATTGACTCCTCGAAATACTGCTAACATTGGAGGTATTAAAAAAGCGTCATCCAAGTCTTTATCACCTATCATGGAAATGTATTTGATGCAATATTGAAATCGAGGATTTCTCGCATATTTGAAATTGTATCACAGTGTATACTGAGTTATCTAGTCTGGTTAAACAGTCCAAACAACACCTAATGCTACTGCTGGACCTTTATGCCATACCACAACATATTGATCAGTCAAACATATGGTTAATTTCCTCTCTCACAGACTTTTCATTCTTCGACATTATTAAAGGCGTTGTACTGACATGCCTATACAATCTCATTTTTTCTGTTTTGGGAACGAAAGAGAATACAATTGCAGCACTCTCAAATTTTATGCACTTTATTTTCGAACAATCACAAATGATCTGAACAAGGCGATGCTCATTATTTGATGATTTTAAAAAATCGCACAATATTAGCAAATGGGATAAGCGGTTATATTTTGAAGCTACAGGATATTCTTTTTCAACTTCTTCGGAACCTATAGTTCCCTCTGAACTTATTACTAACATAGTCCGTTTAGGATCACAATGGATAAATTTTTGGTGTAGTAAAGGCCAAGCCCTTTCCTTATTTCTAGTCTTCTTAAAGGTGATAATGTAATTTAGGTTATGTTGGATTCTAGGAAAGTGCAAGATCAGTTTTGATTTAGTATAGTTTTTATTATATTAGATAGAAATTTTTGTAAATTTTGATTTATGTAATTTTTATATTTTACTATCAATAAAGTTTTTGCGAATTTACCGCACTTAAAAAAATAAATAAATAAATTATTTTGAGACTCTTCCCCCTAATACTCAAAATACCTAAAAATACGAATAAAACTAAAAAACCAAGTACCCACAGACGTTCGAGTTCACCAGTCGCAAATAGACCTACTCCACCACCAGCTAAAAGACTACAACTAGATACTTCAGAAGAGCAACAACAACAATAACAATAAGCTTTAGAAGCTTTCACCTCAACTTTCAACAATAATGAAAATACTTCAATAGAAATGGAAGTAGAAGTTACTTCAACTTCATCTTCTCAAGATAAAGGAAAAGGATCAGAACAAATTATCCCACCTGTAAAGAACACATCTATTGACCTCGACCAATCTTTCGACGCAGCTAAAAATATGCTTGATAATACCCAACAAAAAAATACTCTTCACTTTGAACGCGAAACTGGTGTCCCTATTTTTTTCGCATTCTGCGCAGCAGATACTTTTCTTCCTAAGTGTACCAATAAAGGCAAATGCAATGCTGCTTGTGACATGTTTAACGGACCTTACTTTCCATCATTTACTGGTGTTACAGTCCGCAATCACCTCCAAGATGCAACAAAGAAAATCGTCCGAATTAGCTTTATAATACGAGATGATTTTGAACGTGTCTTGAAAGTTCCTATATCCGATATGGATAATACCACATTCGTTCCACTAGATGTTACTCCAATTGCTAGATTTACCCCTGAGATGTCAATCAAGATTACCGAAATTCTGATCACTACTACAGAAGCAAATATCAGATCTTCATTTGCTTTTTTTGGAAAGATTGCCCGCTGCTCCATGATCACCAAAAATCTGTGGCAACAAGCCACTATTACATTCGCCACTAGCACAGATATGTCACAATTCGATTTCTATCATGGATTCTTCGTACTAAAAGATATGGTTAGAATATACTGCTGTACCTTATCCAATGACGAAGTACGACAAAAATCAAAATTCTCTCTTAAACTGACTAACTTACCTGTCGACACTAATGGACGACACCTACAAGAAATTAGCTATGCTATTCACGCCATAGCCTGGGTTATTCCTAAATCAAAAGTTTCCTATAGGAACCTTCAATATGCCATTATGTATTTTTCTGATCAAGCGACATTAGACTATGTAAAGAATGGTAATTCGCTATACTTAGATAGAAAATGACTTGTTTGGACTGACCCAAACCAGAAGCTCTGTTTTATCTGCTCTACTCCCAGACATTTGTCCAAAATTGTAGACGAAAACGTTCTACCCCAAAAGATCGTCAACTACAAAATCTATATCAACGATACCAACCAGCCCAATTTAAGAACTATTCGACCCAGTTCCAAAAGTCAAACCCACACCTACAAATCCCCCTCCTAAAAATCCATCTAATCACAATAATAGAAATAATAAAGACATTAGTCAACAAAATGTATCCAGACTGAATGGTCTTTCGTTTGCTCATATCATCGATCCTAAAACAGATTTAATGCCACACCACCTCTTCCTAAGAATAAACCGTTTATAGGAAACACATTAAATGATAGTATCCATACTAATGAATCATGGGCCGACGAAACTGAAGCAGAATTATCTAGTTGTTATGATAACAAATATCAACCATCTTTTCTTGACAGCATTTCAACTTAACTGGTCAACATTTCTCAACAACTTGCTGACATTTATAAGCAACTTGATTTTACACTTACGAGAGTGAATACTATCGAAACTGTTCTCAATATCACATTTATTTCCCCTAAACAGGTGGATATCATCAATAATAACAAATATAAAAATCCCCTTGATGACATGGAGGAAAAGGATAATGAAGTTGTTACTGCAGGAATTGATATCTCCAAATCCATTGTTCGACAACAAGAATCCCAAGTTACTGAATTACAACTTGAAAATTCCATTCTTAAGCGTAACTTAAGTGATAACTATGAAAAACTCAACAATATCCTAGTTGCTGTAGCCCAAATGCAAAGATTACTTGTCTACCATGAGTTCCTTCCAGAAAATCGTTTAATTAACATTGTAGAACTAACTAAGCCAGCACCTTCAGATTACTTCAATGATAATAAGTACGATCCTCCCACCCAACTTAAATTTCTTTAAAAATGATTAGTACAAATAATAATCACAATGAAAATACTTCGAATTCCCCTTCTAATCATAATACAATTAATCGAATTTTAAAAACTGCCACACATAATGTTCGTTCTTTCACCAATCCAACAAAACAACAAATGTTCATGCAAATTTATTCTTTACACTACTTGGATATTATCAGAATACAAGAAACTGACCTCAACAATTCGCAATCCAAATCTTTAAAACGTACTATTAATTCAAATTACCAAATATTTTTAAATCATAATTAATCCGCACAAAAATCTGGCTTCAGAGTCAGACTTATTCTAAAAAAACAATTTGCAAATCATGTGTACAATTGCCAAGATGATCTTGGACGATATATTTATTTAGATTTACAATTCCGCAACAAATATAGACTCTGTATAATCAACACATATATCTCAAATTCAGATACCATACTTCGTAACAAGACCTATGTTGCTATTACCAAACTTCTCAACCAAGCCAAGCTAGATAACATGCAAGTCATCCTCTTAGAAGACTTCAATGCAGTTCCTTTTCAGGCTAACAATCCTTCAACCTCAAATAAATTTTTTAAGCAATTGGATAATGATAATATATACAACACTTTTGACCTTTTATTTGACGATGCTAATGTAAAATTTCCTACTTTTAACAACAAAATATGCCTTACCCCATCTAGGATTGACCACATTTATTGTTCAGATAGATTGGCGATAGATATACATACAGCTACAGTAATTGATGTTGA